GTTTGACGCTTCATCTGGCCAACTGCATCGTTCCCCTTCGCAGGAACGACGCCTGTCATCGCCGCCGCCGAGAAACTAGCCAGGGCGACCGATGGAGGTGAGGTCTCACTACAGGATTTGCCTGAGATGCCTCGGCCAGTTATAATGTCCAAGAACAAGATACATGTGGAAATAGATGGCTTCGATACAAGTGCTTTGGTGGACACTGGTGATACGATATCAGTTATGCGTCTTTCTTTCAAAAATCGCATTGGCCGCAAAGTTATGTTTTCTTGGGGTGAATCAACAAGGTTTCGTGGTGTTGGTGGGGAAGTACTTCATCCTGTCGGAGTTTGTGCCGTCAATGTCTTATTGGCAGGAAAGGTGTTCCTAACAGAGTTTCTTGTGCTGCAACATTGTACCCATGATGTGATTCTCGGTCTTGACTTTCTCCAAGGATGTGGCGCTTTCGTCGACTGCAGAAGCGATGAGCTTTCCGTCAGCGGTGACATTGTTCCTACCCTTGTCGATGAAGCGCCGGAGGCCGCGAAGGACGCTGTGATTGTTTCTGATGAGCTGACAGTGCCGCCATGGTCAATGAGGTCAGTTTCGGTGTTCGCCCCAGAATCTTCCACATCTTTTGACGCCATCGTTGAACCTGCCATCGTTCAATGCGCTAAGAAAGGAATACTCGTCCCTCGTTGTTTGGTATCTGTTGATGAAGGAGCAACCTTTCTGTGGGCACTGAATTGTTCGCCAATGCCGGTTGTGCTCTCTCGAGGAAGGAAGCTTGGCGTCTTCGATGATTCCACTGAAGGTTCTGTAGCGGTCGTTAACATCGATGAAAGCGAGAAAGGTACAGTCTCTGGCAAGCGCAGTTGCTCTTACGAGTCGCAGATCCTAGGCATGATTAGCGCCACTTTGCGGTCACACGAGCAGCAATCATTACGCCATCTGTTGAGGCGACATGCTTCTGTGTTTGACTTTTGCCAAGAGGAGAAGCCAGAGAAAGGTACAGTCTCTGGCAAGCGCAGTTGCTCTTACGAGTCGCAGATCCTAGGCATGATTAGTGCCACTTTGCGGTCACACGAGCAGCAGACGTTACGCCATCTGTTGAGGTGACATGCTTCTGTGTTTGACTTTTGCCAAGAGGAAAAGCCACTACCTTTACCATGTTCTCGCACTCACCATAGGATTGACACCAGCACTGCCCATCCGATCCGACAAAAGCCTTACCGAGTGTCGTCATCAAAACGAAAAGTTATTGCCGACCAGGTTCAGGAAATGCTGAAGAAGGGTGTTATTGAAAAGTCGTGTAGCCCGTGGGCAGCACTGGTCATCTTGGTTAAGAAGAAAGATGGTGCCTGGCGGTTCTGCGTTGATTACAGAAGACTCAACGCCGTGACCAAAAAAGATGTATATCCGCTGCCTAGGATTGACGATGTTATTGACTGCTTACACTCGGTTTCGTACTTTTCTTCAATAGACCTGATTGCTGATGATAGACCTGATTGAAGAAGTGCCGGTTTGGTGAACCACAAGCTTTAGTCCTCGGTCACCTAGTTGACAAAGATGATGTCAGGCCGGATCCCCACAAAATCGAAGCAGTCGGCACATTCAAACCACCCCAGAAACTGAAGGAACTTCGCAGCTTTTTGGGCCTATGTTCCTACTTTCGCCGCTTTGTGCCCCGATTCGCGAACGTAGTACACCCACTGACGAGCTTGTTGCGAAAAGACAGCCCATTCGAATGGACACCTGATTGTGATGCCGCATTTTCTGAACTGAAATTTCGACTAACATCTGAGCCTATTCTTTGTCATTCTGATCCTTCTGCTTCTACAGAAGTGCACAGTGATGCAAGTGGAATTGGCATCGGAGGTATGCTTGTTCAGCGCCATGATAATGCAGAGCATGTTGTTGCCTATACGAGTCGATCTCTAAGCAAGGCTGAAATGAATTATACGGTGACAGAGCAAGAATGTTTAGCGGCTGTATTCGCCATGTAGAAGTTTTTGATGTTACCTCTTCGGTTGTCCATTCACGATTGTGACAGACCATCATTCATTATGTTGGCTTGTTACCCTCCGAGACCCTTCTAGCCGCCTTGCTCGATGGGTTTTACTCCTTCAAGAATTTGACTTCAGCATTTCTTACAGAAGTGGACGACGTCATTCGGACGCTTATTTCCTTTCTCGCCTACCTATGACCACGACGGAGGACAGTGCGAATACTCTTGACATCTGTTTTGCTGCGGTCTCTCACACGTTTCTTGACGCCAATACCTTCAAACGAGAACAATTGAATGATTTATCTTTCGAACCTTTGTTCATTGACACTTGGAATCTCAAAGGCAGTGGTCGCTTTCGCATTCGTGATGAGCTGTTGTGCAAAACGAATTACTCAGCAACAGGCGCACGTTATTTACTGGTTGTACCTCAAAGTCTTCGATGCGACGTTCTCTGTACTATGCACGATGATCCAACGTCAGGACACCTTGGTTTCATTCGCACCCTGTATCGAGTGCAGGAGCGTTTTTACTGGCCCCGAATGCGAGATTTTACGAAACATTACGTCTCGAGCTGCGAGAATTGCCAGCGCCACAAATGACCTCCCAGTGCACTGCACGACCTTCTTCATCCCGTAGAACCCCCTACTACGCCTTTCGAGCAAGTGGGCATCGACCTATGGGGCCCCTTTCCGCGATCTTCAAACAACAGCCGCTGGATAATAGTGTGCGTCGACCACCTTACCAAATACACCGAAACCGCTACGATACCATCTTCTACAGCTGATGGCGTCGCTGCCTTTTTGTTACGCTCCATTGTTCTTCTCCATGGTCCACCTCAAGTAATCATCAGTGACCGTGGTCGCCAATTCATCGTGGACGCTGTGGAAGAATTGCTTCGCCTCTGCACTTCACAGTTCAGACATTCGACACCATACCATCCCCAGACGAATGGCCTTGTAGAACGTACCAATCTAACTCTTACTTACATGCTCGCAATGTACGTCGCGTCCAATCACAAAAACTGGGATAAGATCTTACCATTTATTACTTATGCATACAATACAGTGAAGCACGAGACCACAGACTTCACGCCCTTCTACCTGCTCTACGCTCGATCACCACGCAGCTCCTTTGATACAATTTCATTTAAGCTCCCATTTAAGCTCCATACCGATGAGTCCCTGGCCGAAACATTGTGCCGGCTGAAGAAGCCCGCCAAATTGCTCGCTTGCGAACACTGGCATCACAAGGTCGCTTCAAGCAACAATACGATCAACGCCATGATGCTATTTCATTCCGCAAAGGTGAATTCGTGTGGTTGTGGACCCCCCAACGAAAAGCTGGTTTATGTCAGAAGTTTTTACCACAGTACACAGGCCCCTACGTCGTTGTAGATCGCTTGAATGACTTGACGTACGTTGTGGCACGCTTGGCGACACCTTCTCGTCGGTCAAATCGAACGCAGTTGGTGCACGTGGCTCGCCTCAAGAAGTTTCATCTCTCCAGTGACATAAACTCGCCCAGCGGGCTTCGTCTGTGAACTGGGGATTGCTACAGTATGAGCCGGGCTGTAGGACGTGCCGGGGAGGTAGAAGAGGAAGACGACGTTGTCTGGTGCGGCCTGAGGGCTCCATCTTTACTGCCGAACTTCATCCTCACCCTGGAAATAAATCCACCTATCCTTTAATTCAACCATAACAGTATTTCTGTTCAGTGTACTTTCAGACGACGCTGAACAAGTCAGCAAGTAGTAACTGAAAAAATAAACTTGCTAGGTAATAACTGCGTAAGCACCTCATCTGTTGCTTTGTCTTAGTCATAACATGATTACCTGGCTGGGATTTGAGGCAATCGAGAATTCGTCACATGTGTTATGATACTCATGCATTGATTAGGCTTGTCTTTTATTTTACTGTTCTGTATCATCCTTTTCGACGCATATATATTTTCCCACTCTGGCAGCCCCGCCGCGGTGGTTTAGTGGCTAAGGTACTCGGCTGCTGTCCGCAGGTCGCGGGATCGAATCCCGGCTGCGGTGGCTGCATTTCCGATGGAGGCGGGAATGTTGTAGGCCCGTGTGCTCAGATTTGGGTGCACGTTAAAGAACCCCAGGTGGTTGAAATTTCCAGAGCCCTCGACTACGGCGTCTCATAATCACATGGTGGTTTCGGGACGTTAGACCCTACATATCAATCAATCAATCAATCAATCAATCAATCAATCAATCAATCAATCAATCAATCAATCAATCAATCAATCAATCAATGCCACTCTGGTAAAATATATATGACATGTATGTCGTCACTTCTTCTCGCATCTACAGAGCTCGGAAGTTTTCTTGTCGTACAGTCTTTGCTGTTAATTAACAGTTGGTAGCATAAACAGTTGGTAGTTGGCACTTATCTGTCTTTCTTTCCTGTTCTCATGACCCAAGCTTTGCGCCACAAATAACGTGTTCAGTAAAATAGCACCCCCCTCGCCTGGGAAAAAGTTCTATAGCAGCATCATAGCTCACATCCTGTATGTATCTATAAATCACTGACCATGCTTATTCTTTCATTATTTTTCATGGTGCTTTTTGGCCAAACATGGCTCTTGCGCCACTCAAACCAACATATAATCAACTTACCAGAATCTCGCAAGCCCTCGCTACATGCCCTCGTTTATGAGCAGACATGCCGTGACTCACGCTTTCTCTGGTTGCAAAACAAATTCCTGCTTGTGCATTAATGTGCCCTCCACATTTTCACCAGAGGAATACTCTCCTACTTTATTTCTTTGTGTAGCGAAAAATAAGGCTCGATACTTTTTGTACCTTGATCTGGTGCTTGGTGGTGTAGGTGCTTGCTTCAAGAACATGGCCTTTTGTTTGTGCTCTACATTCACACACCTCCTTCCAAAATGCTGCACTGTGCTCCCTCATGAGTTTTAAAAATCAGCCTGTTTTTTTACTTCAAACCATCATCTGGATAGGCAAAAGGGGGACACATAGTGACTACATTGTGCGCAGGGGACGATGGTCGTAAGGAACTGTCTCCGGACGAGGTTGAGGCAGGGGGCCTTGTCAAGGACTCCGAGAGTGTCTACACGCTCTGGTGCAGCGGGCGGCTGTGTGTCGAGGGCATGCTGGTGGAGCTGCGCCTGCTCAAGCGACAAGACTTGCTCAGCCTGATGGCACACATGGTGCGACCATCAGCTGACCAGCTGGTGAGCATCATTCTAGTAATGTCTTTTGTTTAACTTTTCCTGACTTTTGTAAGCAGTTACTGTAGACCAGTATGTTGTGTTTCATGAGGTTTTATACAGAGAAATGAGCACAGTTGAATCTTGTTAGGTGAAAACCTTGTGTAATGAAACAGTTCAACTGACAGCAAATGAGAACTGGTGTAATACGAGGACTTCTGTAAACTTGCAGTACAGCCTTTTGTTGTGAAGGAATTCTCCATGGTGGATCACGTCCTTATCATCTTTCAGCTATACCTATGTCACATGGGCTCGGCGATTCCAAAGTGTAATTGCTTGGGGGAAAAAGTAGTCGTTCATTGCAGATGTACGGCCGTTGATTGGTGCAATAGGGATAGAATAGTTGATGCAAGAAGAAGTTCTGTTAGGAGGCTGTAAAAGTTCGTGTCTTGATTTTGGGCGGAAAAAGAAACTGTGCAGGAGGCATAGGCGTGAGATTAGGCGGCGTGACGCGAGAGATGGTGTTTGTATTGATTGTTTTAGGGCGGTGACGCTGATTTCTCTGGAGAACTGTGAGGTTACAAAGCGGGCAGTGCGGTTACGGACTGATTCTAGTTCGTTAGCGAGATATGCCTGGGATGGATTCTGGATTCCAAATTGACGATGCGTATTCGAGCTTTGGGCGTACGTATGTTAAGTATGCTAGTTTTTTAACGTCAGGAGATGCTGATTTCAGATTATGGCGCAGAAATTCAAGCGTGCGCAGAGGGTTTGAGCAAATGGACTGCACGTGCGGTGCAAATGAAAGAGTTGGGTACATTTGCACACCAAGATACCTGTACAATGAAGCCGAATCGAGAGGAAGCGAATTGATAAAGTAGGTATGATGAACAGTGGCGCGCTTACGGGAAAATGAAAAAAAATGACATCGATTTGCATTTGGTTAGGTTTGTCCACTGCAGGACAAAGGCCTCTCCCATGTTCCGCCAGTCATCTCGGTCCTGGGCTTGCTGCTGCCATTTTATACCCGTGAACTTCTTAATCTCATCTGCCCACCTAACTTTCTGTCTCCCCTAACCCTCTTGCCTTCTCTGGGAATCCAGTAAGTTACCCTTAGTGGCCAACGGTCATTCTGCCTACACGCTACATGTCCGGCCCATGTCCATCTCCTCTTGATTTGTAATATGATATTCTTAATCCCAGTCAGCCATAGTTAAATCAAATAAGTTCACTTCAAAACTCAAATATATGTGTTGATGTTGTTTAAATATTTCAATAAATTGTTTACTTACAGTTATGAGTGCATATTTAGCGTTTAAGTTGTTGAGCAGCGAAACTAGCAGGCGATACAAGCAAAACGGCATGCTGAAGTCAAGCACGGGGTCGTTGTCGAGAGCTTGTGCAGTTCTCACATTTAAAGTGACAAAAATACTCTAATAAATAATTCACAACACTCCTATATACTGCTTTTGAAGCACACTGGTTAGATTCCTTTTTTTTAATCGTGCGTATGAGCATACTGTAAACGAGCGGGCACATTCGCGCTGTTGCCGCTTCAATGACTACAGAAATTTCAATGGAGTTGTGGGGTGCTGCATTGGCTTAATAAACTATTGACTCAATGCCCCTCAACACCACCAATGTGGCAGCTCTTGTTTGATAGTTGAGTCAATAAACCATCGGTTCAACGACCTTCTAAAGACCCGTATGGCACATGTGTTAATTGAGCATTGTTGGAACATAGCCAACCTTTCTGTGTGGTTTTTGTAAATTATAAAAAGGCATTCGATTCAGTACATGGCTCATCCAGTGTGTTCTGATCTGTGCACATCCTCTTCTGCGGGCATGACACACAAAAACTTGAATATTGTTTGATCTATCATTTCTTTTAGCTTCCTTTAGGTATGTACAGTGATTCCATTTCTGCGCCAAATGCGCCAAACTGATACAAATGAGAATGCTTGTGCAATTCTGATAGAAATCCCGAAAATCGCGCCAAAATGCGCCGAATGGCTGTCGCGGGCCTTGGTGGTGTCAGCCAGTGCCGCCACCACAACCTACAACGGGGTCTGAGGGCACCCATTCCTCCATGGCAACGATAAAACTATGAGAAGTGCAGCGGAGGACATCTAGCGGCAACATGCGCAGTACGGATTGAGTGATAGCGGAGATAGTGCTGCTGTAACTCCGGAAGGGAAGCGGGCAGTGCGCTGGTGAATCGATTGCTGCTGTCTCAGCTCGCCAGCACCAAGGACTGTTGGACGACTCTTCATTACCACTACGCGTGTGTGCCGTCAGCGGTGGGATATGATGCGATGAAGAAAGGTAAGTTTCTGTTATTGACATTTTCTCTTAAGTGTGGCGTGCGAACGTGGCGAATTTGATACTGCTTGGACCGCAGCGCGCAAAAAGTACCGTCTATTTGCACGCTAAAAACGGTAAAGCCTATTTCGCTTTCAGATCTTGATCCGGATCTTATCTGTGAAAACATGCAATTGTATGGCGCAGATTAATGGCCTAAATTGATGCTCTAGTGACTGCCGCTAATATTTTTGTGGCGGTCGTTAACCCTAAAAGGCCGGTTTCAAGGGAAAAAGAAAGGCTGCTTTCGTGGGAATGACGCATTTATGTTCTAATTGTATTCAAAAGAACTGAGCGGCAATGCGATATGCCCGATGACACGCGTAGTTGCATTCTAGGCTTGCACGACTGACTTTGAGCAGGCAGCTTGACTGACCTTGAGCAGGCAGCTTCGCAGAAAGATAAACATTTTGTAGCAAGTCTATCTATGGAGTTGTGCGTCATTGTTGCGCAGAGCAGAGATAGCGCGCGCTCATGCTGGGCTCGTGGTGACGGCAACTTTGCCCGCATGTAGCAATTGTCGCTGTAGTTTCGCCTTCTCCGCACCGTGATAATGCGCTGACAAGCTGGCCGTCTGTGCTTGATAAATGCTGTTAGATGTTGGCTGGCTGACACGTGGGGCGCCTGTACTGTTGTTACATGATAGGCTCGTGCCGGACCTAGATTTGTGCATGGTGCGAATGACAGGGCTTTAATTTTTTAAGTGAGCATTTCTTGTTTCGCCGTCGGATTTGTGTTTTAATCTTCCATATCTTCTCTCTTTTCTGCAGCTCGGACTACCAGCTTCAATGCATCGGTGCTGGAAGATGTTCACAGCAATGACAGCAAGGACAGCAATGAATTTCAAACCGTTTTCCAAAAAGAAGAGCCCCTTGTTCACATTGTACACTCGGAGTGTATTGGGCTTGTAAAAAAGCTGCTGAGCCACTTTATGAGGCATGAGGCCTACTGCAACTTGTCTGGCAGTGAGTTGAAACAACTTGATGTCGGGTCACCAGAAGGGCTGAAGCAAGTTTTGGAAATCGGATCCGACACTGAAAAAGAAATGCGTAACTGGGATCCCCAAGAAAAGAAGAGCTTCAGGACAAGTGCACGGGCATTTTACATTTCTATGCAAGACATTTAATCAAGCAGCTTCTTCTGGATAACAAACTGCAAAAATGATAACAAAACATAACAAAACATAACATGAAATGATAACAAAATGATTACAAAAATTCCAAAATGAGTTCCAAACAAGGTTTCTCAGAATATTGTGAAAACTTGTTTTGCTATGCATTTCTCGCCGTATTGGACAACCTTGAAAACTGATACCTGTTGCTCCAAACTGCTCCAAAATTGACTTTTTGGTACTCCAAAATGCTCCAAATTCTAATTTTTTGTGCTCCAAAAATTGCTCCAAATTGTGGTTCCTAAGTGGCATCACTGTATGTAAAGAAATTAGTGGTACCGATTTTAATAGTACAGTACAAGCTCATCAATTCAGCTTTGGTTAATTAGGAAAATTTGAAGATTCAGTTGTGTTGTCTGGTCCTGGTAAGCTTAGGCATTATTTACAGTCGACTCTCGTTAATTCAAACTTGAGGGGACCTCTAAATTTTGTTTGAATTATCAAGAAGTTCGAAGGATCAGAATTTCTCGGATAAATGACTTTGGGTGAGGTGACACCACACATTATGATTAGGTATTGATTTTATCACAATTAAAATTTTTCTAGTATTTTTAAACCCCAACTGCACGCAATGAACAGAAAGCAGAGATGTAAGGTCTACAAGTTTATTGGCCATTACTGCTGATCAGACCCGAAGAAGAATTGATGAATTGCCAACTGCTTCTTTTTTATGGTAAGTGCCTTCAGCACAAAACTTTTTATACCAGTTGAGAAGCGAAACTTTACACGATGAAACGGCTCGGCTGAAACTTCCATAGGTTGAAGGTGACCAGCAAAGGAGAGGCGTAGGCTTCTTCCGATGCTGGCACAGGTCACACGCTGCGACGTAGCGGTGAACGAAATGATAAAAGGCCCTTCCAGAATACCCGTCAGCGAACGTGTCATAGGTTCAGGAGACACCTAAATGTCCGGCAGTTGGGGCATTGTGAAGTTCTTGCAAGATGTTCTTGCACAGATGACGTGGGACGACGAGCAAAAGTTCCGCGCCATCGGGCTGTAAGTTGCAGCGGTACAAAACGTTGTCTTGAAGAAAAAATAGGCTCAGTGAAGGGTCTTTATGGCCGGATTGAAGACGGTCAATCATCGATAGCAGTGATGGATCTCGGCATTGTTCGTCGGCTGTTTGTAGAAAATCTGTTATGGCTAGGATGTTGGCATCAGCTTCCAACTCAGAGGAGTCGGGCGGATCAACAGGGTGTCAAATAAGCAGTTGGCATCGCTGTAAAGCTTGCTAGACTTGTACACTACAGAGAACGTGTACTCCAGCAATCGCAATGCCCATCACCCTAGTCTTCCTGTAGGATCCTCAAGGGTTGACAGCCAGCAGAGCGCATGGTGGTCTGTGATGACTGCGAACATGCGGCCATATAGGTACGGCCGAAATTTCGCAATAGTCCAGATGAGAGCCAGGCACTCTCGCTCAGTGATTGAATAGTTCCTTTCCCACTGAGAAAGTAGGTGGCTAGCATACGCTATGACACAGTTTCTGCCG